GACTTCAGCGTCGCTTCATGTCGCGACATTAAAAAGTTAGGCGATTATCACTTCGCTTCATTGTGGCCTCATGGCGACAATGTGGCATTAGCATCGCTTCATCAAACAAAGAAGTACAGAACTCATTTCACCCAACCTCTCGCGACCACTTCCGCTTTTCAATCGCTCGCTTTTGCAACCGCTTGTTGAATTTCCGCTTTATTTTCGACTGTGCAAAAATTCGGACTACTAAAAATTTTCTGGTTTTCATAGATCACAGTTACTAGTTTAGTAACCGTGCATAGATGTTAAACAACCGTCAAAAGTTCAAATACTTTTTGTTTTAACTATCTATAATTATATGCACTCAATCTGACCCTTTGACCTAGATTTGGCTGGGATTGACTATTTTATTTTAAACAACTTTTTCTGACGTTTACGATTTGTATAATTATTGTTATTTCCCCCAAGGAGAAGACAAGCCGAAGGACCATGAAGCTAAATAGAAGTCCCTAGCATGGACTGAGTGAAAAAAAATATTTCTAAGGCTAAAATAAAACCTAATATCTCTTTGTGTATTTGTCAATTTTGCATATATTTAGTATGACAGTATGTTCGTAAATATCTGGAAAAATCTTGTCTTTCGTTAATATTTCATTTGTTTGAAATGTCTACCGACCGTGTCCCAATAATTTGTTTGGAATATTGATCCCCATTGGTTTCTCCAAACGGTCCCGACGTCCGACATTCAACACAATCAGCATTTATTTATCGTAATTCATGAGGATCATGTCCCATAATTTGCGGGCTGTAAAACCAAATAAATAAACAAGTACTATTTATTATATTTTTGTTTTACCTCGCGAAACTACAACACGGTATAGAGTTGTCGGGGTGAAACAGTCGCCTTGAAATCGATGGAACTTTAATTATCCATTTCTCACCTTGAAATAAAATTAAAAAAAATTGAAGAGCATCGGGGGATATATTATTAACCAGTCTTACCAATCGCTAGCTTTATTTTATTCAAATCCATAAAATTCACGAGTTTTCGACATTTGTTGGCAACTTCCGCGCTAAAAATGGTTGGGTGTGGTTCTCTCGCAAAGTCCCGTTGATAATACGGACAAGTATGGTTCTGTGTCCCAGGATCAGGTGATTCTCAGCCAATCAATGATGTTGTAACAAAGCATACTTGATGCTAATTTAAGGGTCGTCGTACCATCCAATCTCCTGCGTCGATTCACATAGTTTGTTTGTGATGTGACAGGCTTCACAATTATTCACTAAAAACATCGGTATATTTTGACAAACGGCTGGGATTTAACCTCAGTTAAAAAAAAGAAAAAAAAAACTGGGCTGAGATACAAATCACTTTTGCAAGTTGGGAAATAAGGTAAACCAGATTGGGGTCGATGATATTCAAATTGTTCATCGACTGGTCACCAAATATTTACGGCTACAACTAAATGGACACGTTTTTTTCTGAAGCCCAATAAATTATTTCTGCATGTCAAGTGCTATTCAATTTTTTACAGGGCATGTGGCTCGTTTTTATTCGAAAATATTTTTTGTGAGAATACTTTTAAAGTACGTATAGGTCAAGATTAGGTCATTGATCGTGACTTAATTTTGAAAATTGGATGTAAAATGTTACCAGGCCGACGTCACCACAACCATCCAATCATAGTTAGAAATGTACACACTTGTTTTGGAACTTTGTATCAAGATGGCAGGCGACAACGCTGATGCACCAGGCGACGTATGTGTGTTTTGCATGTATTAGTAGTCCGGGCATGAGATCGGACTCTGCTAAAACTAAACGAAACACAGAAAAATACCACCGAAATGAGGAATCTGAATCTGTTCTCTTACCAGCAAATAAAATGAACGAAAATAAGGTAATTTTATAACAAGAACAGTTTCATTTTGTATAGCAAATTGCGCTGTATTCGAACGATTGCATCGTGTGATTTAAATTTATCACGATTTTCCTTGCAGTCAATATGACACTCGTCACCTTGCAGATTGCAATGTACTTCACAAAGTTTTTGGTACCCAATACTCGCAACATTAAATAATTAAACAAGATATCTTTTTAAAATGTCATTTTACTCTTGGTCATATTATTTTATTCCCCTTACCGCCTTGAATTTCAAATCGATTACATATCAATCTTCTGTACATGTGTTTTTCTCTACTGCCTTTCCATGTGAAAATATTGTGGTCATACTCGTGTCACAATACTTTGAAGCTGATGCCATGTTGATGCCATAAGACTGCGAAGCTGAGGCCACGATGATGCCACAGAATAAGCGAGGCAAACACAACTTCAATTTTCAATGACGCGAAGCTGATGCCACAATGATGCGATGCTGAGGCGACAATGAAGCCATGTGTAGGCGACAATGATGCCACAAAAGCCAAAGCTTTCGCGAGAACTGTACTGTAGTTTTGTATGTGCTACTGGACATTGTGTTAGTGTTTGGTTCCTTCAGGAATTCTGCGATAATAAAGCGCTATCGCTGTTATCGTGCTTCTGTCAAAATGCGAACTGTCCATTGCGGCAGGACTCCTGGTGAAACCCTAGTTAAATATTTCAAACCTAGCGTAGGGACCAAGTTCAACGACAAGTCCCAGATACTTATTCAGTAACAAATTATCCCCCAACATTTTGACCTGTATATAAAGACCACCTGTCTAATGTTATCAGTGACTACATTTTTGGTCACATGAACCTGTATATACAGACATAAATGATGGAAGATGATTGCATGTTTAGCGTTTTACTCCAGTCTCCAGCAATTTCAATTTTATGAAGACAACCTGACATTTTACTCTTCATATATTAGGAGAATTATTGTTGTTTTTATTCACAAACCAAAAAATCAACTGTCATATTTAGATTTTACTACAGTACAGTGAGTTTGTGAGTATGGATGGATACTTTACACAGGTTTGTGAGTATGGAGTGTCACTTTACACAGGTTTGTGAGTGTGTCTATACAGTACATTGGGTGGTCACTGTACACAGGTTTGTATGTCTACACAGTACACTTGGTGATCACTGTACACAGGTTTGTAAGTATGTCTATATAGTACATTGGGTGGTCACTACACAGGTTTGTGAGTGTCTATATAGTACATTGGGTGGTCACTGTACACAGGTTTGTATGTCTATACAGTACACTGGGTGGTCACTGTACACAGGTTTGTATGTCTATACAGTACATTGGGTGGTCACTGTACACTGGTTTGTGAGTATGTCTATATAGTACATTGGGTGATCACTGTACACAGGTTTGTGAGTATGTCTATA